TTTTTGATGATTAACCACAGTTGGAAGTTGATTGACCGAATGTAAATCCTCATTCGTTCCTTCCAATAGGTGTAGTTTGTTCCATCGAAGAGTGGAGGTCTAACGGTGGAGTGTCCTTCACTTAATCCTGCATACGACATTCTCAACAAAAAAATATAGATCGTTCTCTCAACCGGTTAAGGCTTGTAGAGAGTTAGGCTCTGATACCAATTGTTAGAATAAGTGACCAACGCTAGAGGGTGGGTGAATAGCGTTTGATCGTAGAACTCGCAGGAATAAAAAAATTAAGAAAGTGAAAAGTAAAGAGCGTAAAAAGCGTAAAGGGAGCACACCAAGATTTATACTGGTTCACCACAACGTGTGGCTAATCCAGTCTCCCGAGAGACTCTCTCGAGCTACACTACTTCCGTTAAGCTTACGGGTGCTTAACAAACCGTTACAACCTGAGAACTCGAACAACACTTGTTTGGAGATACCGCACTCCAAGACTAAACACTCAAGAACAAGCTTCCCTTAATGTGTATACAACACTAAACACTCAAGAACAAGACTCTCTTTAAGAGTAGATGATGAGTAAACTAAGTACGCTCAAGAACAACTCAAACTTCACACAAATTGGCTCTAAAAACCTATGGAAAATAATGTTGTTTGGATGCAATGATAATATGAATATTGTGAAGTGAATTTATGATAAAAGCAGACCCAAACACCCCTTTTTATAGTGCAAAAATAGGCTCCAACGGACCAATGCATTAAAGGGGTGATTGGCTTGATTTATGGGATTGAATAAATTTGGGATTTGCAGGATATTGGCTTCCCATCGATGTTTGGAACTTACCCATCGCTGGTAAGCCAATTTTCCTTCAGTTTTGAAGCCAACGGTCACCTACCCATCGATGGGTAAATGCTTCCCATCGCTGGGTGGGAGGTTGACTTTCAAATAAGGAAAGAATCAGCCTTAAATGACTCGCAACGGTCATGCCTAACCAGCCATGGGTATGCCCTCCCATCGCTGGGTAAGGGCATTCTGCCTTGTGTTGATGTTGGACCAAGGCTTTAACAGCGATGGGTAGAACTTCCCATCGCTGTTTGGCATGGTTCTGGAAATCAGTTTCGCTGGGGGACTGCTTACCCATCGATGGGAAGATCTTCCCATCGCTGGGTGGCATGATTCTGGAATCTCGGGATCACTTACCCATGCATGGGCGAAATCTACCATCACTGGGTAGATGGCTAGTCCAGAACCATGGCTTAGCCGACCGGCACTGAAACCCGACCGAAAAATGCAAAGTTCTCCAAAGTAAAAACCAAGTGTTTAAAACACTTATTTGATGATTTGGCTAAGAAATCAAGTGAGACACTTTAAAACCACGTCATTTGAGTGAAAACCACGGCTAGCCAAGTTTACGCCGTTTTGAGTGACTTTTGTCAAACGGCCAAAAGCGAAAGATGGTTTTCAAAGTGTTTTTGTTGGAGAACCGTTTAAACATGCCAAAGAGGGAAAACCAATCATAAAATGTTGAAAACCACTTGGTTGGTCCAGACGCCAAAAACCAATGCCGATAACCGAAAGCCGAATGCCGGTTTCTGAAAGCCAAACGCTGGATGGCTTGGTTTTTGGTTTGGGCGAACACCAAGTGTTTTTAATGATTTACACATGTTTGAAAAACATTTTTATGATGTGATAAATGCAATAAAATATTTTAGCCTAAAGAGCCAAGGTGTAAAGATTGGGTCGGTCTTGATCACAATAAAGACCGACTCAACGATGCTAAGTCTAAGGTCTTCGTTCTTGGTGTAAAGATTGGCTCGGTCTTGATCACAATAAAGACCGACTCAACGATGCTAAGACTAAGGTCTTCGTTCTTGGTCATCGTTTGGCTCTTGTTCTCTTTCTTCTCATCTTTGGTTCTCGCCTTGTATATTCAATGACTTGTCTCGTTCACGGCGGTTTGGCATTATCAAAACCTGTCATAACAACGAACGCGGCTTTAGTACGAAAACGTGATAAACCCGTGTTTCAACAATTTCCCCCCTTTTGATAATGGCAAACAAGACGGGGTTATGCATAGGAGGATTGATTTGAGACTTAAAAAATGTTCCCCCTTAATAAATGCAATTTAGAAATAGTTCCCCCTCAATCTATGCATAACCTTTATATCTTCCCCCTTTTGACATTAGCAAAAAGCACTTCAAAAAATTGTAAAAAAAAGAACTCCTTGAACATTGATGTTTGATACTGAACATCGATGTTTGAAAATGTCCTAGAGCATCAATTGTCAACAATATCGTAAAACGAGCTTCCCCCTTGATGCGGTTCATTAGGTTCCATGCTTGGAGCATCCACTACATGTTTGTAGTCTTCAAGCACACCCTTTTGTGTATCTAGTAATACCATTGAGATACCCAATAGCTTTTAAGTCCTTGGGGGTTAGGCAAATAAAAATAATATTTATGATTATAAGAAGTGTCCCTATGTTTAGCAAAACAAACGGGAGCTATGTGTCCTATCTTAGAACAATACTGGCATACTACGTTTGGATTATGCATATGCCTAGGTTGAGCCAAAAACTTTCTAGGTGATCTAAAATCTTTATTCCTAGAATTATTAACTAAATTCCTAGACTCATTTCTAGGTTGTCTCAAAATATTTCTACCATTTGTAAAAATCCTAGAGTCAATTCTAGGTTGTCTCACCTTGTTACTTTTATCCTTTCTAAAATTAATTTTGTTATACCTAGGATTATTAGTTCTTCTAGGTGGTTTATCATTCTTAACTTCTACCTTAATTTTTTCAATGATGCTCTTAAGTTCTACATTCTCTACTTTTAAAGACTCACAAGAGGAACAAGTAGAACTTTGGTCAAAGAAAGAATCTTCATTCATTGCCTTAATTTTATTTTTGAGGTCAAAATTATCATTTTCCAAAAATTTATTTTCCTCTTCCAAAGCATGAATTTTTGCCTTAGCCTCTTTGGCAATTTTTGAAGATTTCTTTAATTCACCAAATAATTCTTGAAAGGCTTCTTGTAATTCTTCAAATGAGAAAGAGTTAGAAGCACTTACCTCTCCATTTCGTTCATGAGCCATAAGACATAAGGTGGCAGTTTCGTCACCAGAACTTTCCGAATCCCATGCCATGTATGCTCGTTC